AGGGTTTATATAAAAACAAAAAACGTATCATAACAAAACAATAAACAATCACGTGATCTCGTGTTATGATACGAGATTTTTGTAAAATTATTTTCTAAAAATATTAAGTTTAAAAATTCCGTATACATTCCGTATGATTAATTTTTCCGTATACATTTCGTATACATCAGTTTTTTTAAAAAATGTTCAAAAATGAATTGCTTATTAAATATACGGAATTTGTATACGGAATCTATAGAAACGTACATAAAATGTATACAAAACGTATCCTTTCCGTATACATATTTCTTATAGGGCAACAATCAACTTACCGACAGTCATTTCACCGAAAATCATTTAATTTCCGTCATCGACAGGGCTATTTCACCGACAGGGTTATTTTATCGAAAATCATCTCACCGAAAATCATTAATTTCACCAACAGGGCTATTTCACCGACAGGACTATTTCACCGAAAATCAACTCCCCGAAAATCATTTCATTTCATTGACAGGGCTGTTTCAATCTCACCGAAAATCATTTCACCGAATTTTAATTATTTACTGTAATTTGATAATCGATAACATAGCCATAATTTTATTAATTTAATATTTAATAGTTTTTATTGTGAAAATAACATAGTCACAATTATAGAATTTTATTAATATACACATAAAAGAAATGTTATGTAATTTGAATATAATAAAATGTTGATTTTTTTATTTATTGTTTGAATCGTTTTTTACCACTCATAAATAATGTGAGATGACAAAATTCTCTAATAAAGAAGACCATTATTGGACTTTATTCGAGGAATAGCTCAATATTCATTTAATTAATTTATATATTTTATTATTTTATGTATAAGTTTTAATTTGTCTTCATTTATGTTATGGAATTTCTAAGATATATATAAGTATTTTAATTATATAAGCATTAAATATAGTAATATTATGAAATTATATGTTAAATATAGAAAACTGATTTTACAATAAAAATTGTTTTATAATGTTCTATTTTTTTTTGTATTTTTTTTTATTAATGCTAGTACGTTTAAGTTCTTTTTCTTGAAACAGCTTAACCTTATTAAAGCGGCTGTTTGAGCAAATTGAAGTTCCTACTTTTATGCTATATGAAAAGAATTTTGATGCATCAAGTAAGTTACAATAAAAATTTATTATGAGAATTATGTATTTTATCATATATCATGCAAATATATATAATAAATTTTTTGGAATTAATAAGAGGTTATTGTAAAAAATTAAAACAAATTTTTTAATATAGAACGTGTGTACATTATCTTGTTATACTTTCATGAGATCATTTAATAATTTGAATAAATTTATTAAAATTATTTATATTGCAAACTAAGAATTTTGTAAAACATTTACTACTCTATCTAGTCTTAGTGTTTATGTAATCCAAGATAAAAAAAAAAATAATAAATAAATAAATGATAATAATTTAATATATAAAAAAAAACATTGTTAAATGATTATTCAAAATCCATCTAAAGATAAAAAATTAACAAATTGGTAAAATAAATAAGATTTCTTTTTAAAGCGACTAATTAATTAAGAACTTACCATCAGGAATTTCCAGTTCATCTTGTTCTTTTGAATGAAGATTTGGATTATTATATACTTCGTCATCATCTGTAAGAAATAAATAAATTAATTAAAAAATAATATAAAAATTAAATTAAAAATTCGCATACCATAAATATCACCAATATTTTGTCTTTTCATTTTTTGTTGAATTATTTCTTTTTCATCATCTAAATTTTTAATTTAAAGCTACATTAAATATTAAATATATTGACAAAATAATTTTTACTTTTTTTGCTTACCATCAATATCAATATCTTTCCTTTTCATTTGTTGTTGAATTATTTCTTTTCGTCATATTATTTTTAAATAAAAGTCACGTTATTTAATAAATGAAACTGATACAATGAATATTTTTATTTCACTTATTTACTTACTATTTGAATTTATTTGTAACTTTATAAATTCTTTGGGTAATTTTTCACTATCACCTAAAATTAAGAACATAGAAATAGATTTAATATTTAATCTATTATTTCAAACAAATCACCTTTAAAATATTTATTAATTATACTTGATAATTTCTTACTATACTGCTTATTTGATCCATTAAAATCGATAACTAAAATAAATATCAATTATTAAACATAATTATGAAATAATTCAACGCTATAATGTACTTACTATTGTTAGGAATGTTAAAATCATACAATTTACTATGAAACACTATTAATAGTAAAATTAAGTATTTCAAAAACTAAATTATTATAGTAACCAAAAAATGGTAAAAATTATTATTTAGCCAGTTATAGTACCTTCTTGTTCTTCTATTATAATAAAAGATAACATTAATAATGTATTGTAAAATAAATACATTCATTAATACACTTATACCTTCTGTTGCATTTCTCGGTTCAGGTAGATTTCCAAAGTTGTGAATTTTACTTGTAAATAATCTGCTACTCGTATAATTTTCTTCTACTTTATTCACTTTTAAATTATCTATTTCTGATTTAAATAATTCATCTGGCATATTTTGATAATCTATATTAATTCTTAACATTTTTTTCCCAAGTGCATAAGTGTCAGGCCTTTTTAATGGATTAGCATCCCAACATTCTTTCATTAAATTTTTATATTCTAATGGAGTTCCTGGCACAATTTTTGGTCTTATACCGTTAATAACATTCATTACAATATCATTTTCATGTTCATAATTTATAAATGGTGATTGTCCAGAAGAAATTTCCCACATAAGAATTGCAATACTATAAATATCAGATGCAAAAGTATATTCTCTTCCAACAATAACTTCGGGTGCTATGTAAGGAAGATTTCCATATATACTTGTTGAAGATTTATCAGCAGGTCCACAAAATCCAAGATCACTAATATACCAATGATCATTAAATTGTGAGTATAATATATTTCCAGAATGCAAATCTCTATGAACTGCTTTCTCTTCATGAATATAATAAAGCGCACGAGTTATTTCATCAATAATTTTCATTCTATCTTTCCATATGAGTTGATTATGATTTTGTTGTAAATAATTTCTTAAATCCATATCCATTTTCAAAATTACAAGCATATAATTTCTATTTGATGGATCTTGTGTTAAACCATAACATCGAACAACAACTGCCCACTTATTACTTATAGTTAAATGTGATTTAGCCTAAATGACAACATGCTATTGTTAATACATAAAACAGGATTTTATAAATAAATTTAAAATTATGCAAACCTCTTCAAACCAACTTTGATTTGCACTTTCAACATTTTCTAACGTTTTAAGTACTACTTTTAAAGTTCTAAATCTTTTTAACTCTTGTTCTTTAGAATCCCATTCACTATATCTTCCATTAATCCAGTCTGCTGTATAGATTTCAGAAAATCCACCTTTTGTCAAATAATTAATATTTTCCAAATCGTTATATGGAATCCATTCAACTATCATTGTTGGACTAAGTGATTCTATTTGACATTTCTGTATTAAATTGTCAATATCATCATTCCCAGATGCCCAATTTGAAAAATTTTCTTTTAAATAATTTCGGACACAATATTCACAATATAATGTGGCTAAACATTCTTGGTTACAATTTTCACATATTCTTTTTGTTCCTAAATTAAAAATAACTTTATTTCGATCATAACCTTTAGTTATTTTTCTTATTGCTTCAGTTTTTTCATCATTTGTAAGAATTTTATCAGCAAGGACTGTTTGTTTTTTAAATTCAAAATGTTTGTGTATATCATTGTAAATATTAGTATCAATTAACAGTGTTGCTCTATTAACTGTTGCATAAATTAATTCATATCGAAGAGCGGACATAATGTAATTTATAAATTAAGGGAAGAGAAAGAATTATTTTTTAAGTTTGTTACTCCGAAACAAAACACAAATTGTTGATCATAACTCCATGTTGTGCTCATAAATTTTGTGACCTTGAGGCGTAGTATTTTACGCCTCATAACAAAAAAGAAAAATAATACTATCGTACTTTCCATACTTAGTAAATAAATTTAAAAATTAATAATTTACTTTTTTTTATTTTTTATTTTTTTCTGCGTAACAAATTTGATTGTCATACTTAATGAATAGATAGTATCTTTAATAATATTCAAATAATTTGATAAAAAGAATTATTAATTTGTTATTATTTTTAAATCTTATTTAAAAATCAATAAAAAAAACATGATTGATGAAAAGTCAACTTAGTTATTTTCAATTGAATTTATTTTAAATAAACAATTTGGCGAATAATGAAACATGAAAGATTATAAGAAACAATTCAATATATTATTTCTACTAATAAAGTCATATCTAAGAGAAGAATTTCTGTAGAATTATAATTATTTTTTTTTTTTTTTTGAAGACGTAATGATGGATCGCAAATATAGGTTTAAATAAAAATATATGGTTTAATAAAAAAAACAAGTTTTAAAGAGAATTATTACGTAACGATTTAGTGTAATAATAAATAAGGAATAGATCAGGCGCAAATATGTCACGAGGTTTTCATATTATCTGTTATGGACGGGTTTTCATGTTACACAATTCACAATTCAAATTATTTATATGACGCAGACAAAATTTTTTTAGTTATATAGATTCTAGTTATCAGTGAAAGCAGTGAAAGGTGGAAATGTGGAATGATCGTCGGTAAACAACTGTAGGTGAAATATACAAAAAAATAACTGATTGGATCAAAAGAGATAACCTAAATTAAAAAAAAAATCAGAACAATTTATTTAATCAATGAAGTCATTTATTTTAAATCATTGTACAAGAAAATAGAAATATAAAACCGTTATTTTTTTTTTATTATTATTTTCTTTTTTTAAAAAAAAAATTAAAAAAATTGCTTTTTACCAACAAAATTAGTTTTTCTTCCTTTTATATTAAATATAAAATGAATATTTGAATTAAATCATTTTTCTGTAATTTTATTAGTAAAAATGGTCTATTTATAAAATCGTCATTTTTTAAGTTTTATCGCATACGGTATGGTATGTATACTAGGAAAATGGAAACTGTTAAAGTCCATCGCGTTTATTTAATCGGTATCATTTTTTTATTAAAAAAAAATTGATTACGAAAAATAGTATAATATAAAAATATGTAACACATAAAATAAGCAGTAATCACAAAAGGAAAAAGCAAGGGCTAAGGATGGATGAAAAGAAAATTGTATGGGTTAACACAAAATCGTCTAATGCAGTACAGTAGAATGTTCTTCGCTAACGCTCCGGACAATTAATAAAAGTCCACATGACAAGTATACTCAACCTGCAAGTTAATTTGAGGCCCAGTGTAAAAAATTTAAATAATTTGACGTTATGTAATTGTTTCATAGTGATATATAATGAGATCGGTTATTAATGTCTTGTACTGTACATGAGTAGGATCAAGAGAGTCATAGGAAGGGTGAATGTTGACGTGAAACGTGAATCATTTCTGGTTCGATTTTTTGTAGATTCTTTGCGATTGTTATGAGTATGGTGGTGACGTTTCTTAATGTTAAGAGAATGTTTCCATTTTTGAAAGCATCATTATGTACCGTACATTCCACACGAATTTGGTGAGGTCAAAAGTGAGCGCCGCCAATGGTCAAGACTTTTATTTTATAAATCTTGTAGAAAAAAGTAAGGTACAAATATAATGTATGATAGTAAGAACTATCCACTTTTCAAATTACCCGACTAGGCATCAAAAGGTACTTCCACCTAGAGGCCAATGGCTAAGTTGCGTTTAGTAAAATAACTTCGGACAAGTATAATCACGTGATACTGCGGAGAATCACAATTAAGTTTATGACGTGCACTTTTAAATCATTAAACAACGTACCGTACTAGCAAAGCCGACCTAAACGACCCAAAAGTGACTTATTGTAGTACTGTATATAGTATAAGTTCATTATTATAATATTGATCATTTGTAATACCTGAACTGCTGCAACTACAGTTAGCACGTGACTATACTGTCCTACGTTATTCTCAAATTGTGCTACTAAATAAAGTTTAGCCATTCCATTTACAAGGTTTGGATTAAAAACTTTTTTTCTTCTTACGATAATAATGGAATTATTACCAAAATTATCACAAAATTTACTTGAAATTTTGGATGACGATGAATATTATGACATTACAATTGAGGTTGGTAATGATCCATATGTAAAAGTGTTCCATGCTCATATGGTTATCTTAAATTATCGTTCACCTTATTTGCGAAGAATTTTATCAACAAATGAAAAGAAAAATGATGGAACGTTGATGAATATTAAATTATCAAATATTTCACCAGAATCTTTTCAAATAATTTTAAGGTAAATTAATAATTAAATTGTAGTTGTGAATTTATTTTTTATTTTTTCTTTATAAACGTATTTATTATAACGTTTTATTTTTTTTTTAGGTATATTTATGGAGGAAAACTTTTATTGGATGAATGTGATACTTTCGATATCATTAAAATTTTGATTACCGCGAGTGAGCTAAGTCTTCAGGAATTAATCCCTCGCTTGCAATCATTTTTGATTAATAATAAGAGAGACTGGTTGGAACAAAATTTTAATTTAATATATCAAACTAGCTTTGAAAATGATTCTTTCTTAGAACTTCAAAAGTTTTGTACGGAATTAATGTCTAAAGAACCAGGAAAAATTTTTAATTCACCTGATTTTACTTCGATTTCAGAAAAATCTTTAATAACTCTTGTTGAAAATGATAATCTTCAAATGAGTGATATTAAAATTTGGGAACACGTTCTTAAATGGGGTATTGCTCAGAATCCTGAACTTTCTTCTGATCCTTCAAGTTATTCCAATGATGATTTTGATGCCTTAAAAAATACTTTACAACGATGTATCCCTTTTATTAAATTTATTAAGTTTTCGTCTAAAGAATTTTTGAACAAAGTATATCCTTATAAAATGATTATACCAGTAAAGTTATATGAAAACTTAATTCAATGGTTTTTGAATAACGATTATAATCCAAGTAATAAGTTAGAGCCACGGATGGTTAAAGAAATTATTTGCAAAATGAATAATAATGATTATAATCCAAACAGCAAGTTGGAATTACAGACAGTTAGTCATAAAATTAATAATAATCATAACGCAAGTAGCAAGTCGGAATCTCAGACAATCAAAGGAATTAACATAGATTCAAAAATTATTACAATTCAACATGCTGAATTAATTTCAAAATGGATCGATAAGTTAGAGATTGAGGATAAGGTGGATAAGATGAAAAATTTTTATGAATTCAAATTAATTTTTCGTGGATCTCGGGATGGATTTACACCTAAAAGGTTTCATGAAATTTGTGATAATCAATCTCTTACTGTAGCAATTATTAAAGTGAAAGATAGTAATGAAATTCTCGGAGGGTATAATCCGATTGCATGGAAATCTTTGTTTATTTACGGCACTACCGATGATAGTTTTATATTTTCTTTTAGGAATAAAAATATTAATGATCATATTATAAGTCGAGTGAATGTAAAAGTAAATGCTATAAATTATTGGCCTCGGTATGGCCCATCATTTGGTAATAGAGATCTTATATTATTTGGAGGTGATGTAAATGATTTTAGACAAAAGTATAATTATTGTAAAAAGCGATCTTATGAAAAAAATATCAGAGAAACTGAGGGTGTATTCTCAGTAGAAGAATATGAAGTATTTCAAATTATTAAGAAAAATTGATGTTTGAGAGAGTCTATGATTTCTTTATTTTACTTTCGTTGTTTATTTACCACTATTTTTAACAGGAAGTGCCAAAGCGATTAATTTTGAATTCTTAATCGAAATTAATTAAACTACAATTTAACATTTAATATTATAGTTTTTTTTTAATACTTGTAATAGTCTTGTAATACAGTATTTATTTAATGGATATTGTAAAGTAAATAAATTTCACTATTTGTTTATTTTTAATTATCGCTAACTTCGAGTTTAATTTTGTTAAAACAAAAATACTTAAAATAAATCTTACAAATATTCTGACTGGGTTAACAAAACTATCAACTTGATTATATCCTCCAGAAATTTTAGAGTGGGTGTAAAAGAATCGGATTACAATTTGAAATAATTTTATAATGATACTTTTTATAATTTTTTTATTTAAGTTCAGTTAAAGCCTTTAGAAGTTAGAATTAAAGAATTTAATTAATATAAAAATTATAATACAGTTTTAATTCATAAAATTATTTCAATAAGTTAAATATGAATTACTAATGTTATATTCATGTTATATTCATATTAAAACTGAAAATATACATTACATGCATTTAAGACTTTACATCGAATATATTTGTAGCGGTAACCATGCAAATATGCAATACTGTAAATCTTAGTAAGATCCTATACGAAAATTACTGATCAGATTGAAAGAGATATCCTAGATTAAAAAAAATCGTAGAACAATTCATTTAATTATTATAAATTATTCTACTAGAAAATAGAATATAAACTTGTTAATTTATATCCTTTTTTTTTTTAAAACAAAAAATAATAATAAATTGCATTTAAAATTTTTTTATTTCTTTTTTATAAATGAATATATGAATAAATCACTTCTCTGTAGTTAAAAATATTCTATTTATAAAATCATAGTTATAATGATAATTTATTCGGTAAATATATTAATAAATAAGATTAAACAAAATTTAGGAAAAAAATTATTATTGACCCATTTCAGAATCAATGATGAGGAAATGTTGTAGTTGTGTAGTTGTGGAATACCGAAAATTGGATTATGTTAGCGGCTGGGAGTAGGCGATTCGGGACCCGGTTGGTTCTACTGGTCTCAGATTTCATAATTGATCGATTCTTTGCTTTTTACAAATGTTGTAATAATTTAATTAAAGTATTGGTTTAGATTATACTTAACATACCACATAAAAAGTCGGAGTCTCCAAAAAAGTGCACTCGACCTTTCCTGTCCATTGTGCAAGTTAATTTGAGGCCATCGTTTAAGCAAATTTATTATCATCAGGTTTATTGATTAAATTTAAGCGATAGTTATTCGTACCCCCCTCTGGCCAACATTATGCACTAACACGTGATATAGCTTGGCCAAATTTTCCTTAATTCTGGCCGTGAGGCAAAATTGGGGTATAAATAACAATGGCCTAAATTTATTGTCAAAAAAATCTCTGACGTCACTTTCAATGATCTACAAACGTTAATTTTGAATTGTGTTACTCTATAAAGTATAAAGTTCAGGGGCTTAGAATAAATTTTTTTTTTTTTTAAAAAAAAAAAAATTAAAAAAAAAATTCATACTCATTGTGATTATTATGGCTGAAAATAAATTTTTACCAAAATTATCACAAAATTTACTTGAAATTTTGGATGACAATGAATATTATGACATTACAATTGAAGTTGGTAGTGACCCTTACGTAAAAGTATTCCGTGCTCATATGGTTATCTTAAGTTATCGTTCTCCTTATTTACGAAGAATTTTATCAACAAATAAAAAGAAAAATGATGGAACATTGGTAAATATTAAATTGTCTAATATTAAACCAGAAATTTTTCAAATAATTCTTAAGTAAGTAGTAATAATTAAATATTAAATTATTATTTTATAAATTTATTCCTAGTAATTTACAAAATATTTTTGTTTTAGGTATATTTATGGAGGAAGTCTTTCATTAGAGGAATTTGATACTTCGGATATCATTAAAATTTTGGTCACTGCAAGTGAACTAAGTCTTCAAGAATTAATTCCTCATTTACAATCCTTTTTAATTAAAAACAAAGCAAATTGGATGGAACAAAATTTTAATTTAATATATCAAATTAGTTTTGAAAATGATTCTTTATCAGATCTTCAAAAATATTGTACAGAATTAATTTCTAAGCAACCAGGAAAAATTTTTAATTCACCTGATTTTACTTCAATTTCAGAAAAAATTTTGATCTCTCTTATTCAAAATGATAATCTTCAAATAAGTGAAGTTCAAATTTGGGAACACGTTCTAAAATGGGGCATCGCTCAGAATCCTGAACTTTCGTCAGATTCTTCAAGCTATTCAGAGGATGATTTCAATAATTTAAAGAATAATTTACAGCAATGTATTCCCCTTATTAAATTCATTAAATTTACTTCAAAAGAATTTTTAAACAAAGTATATCCATATAAAAAGATTATACCTAAACAATTGTATAAAAGTTTAATTGAATGCTTTTTGGATAATGATTATAACCCAAGTGACAAGTTAGAACCAAAGATAATCAAAGAAACTACTATTAGTGAAAGCATTGATTCAAAAAGCGACAAGTTAGAACCAAAGATAATTAAAGAAACAACTATTAGTGAAGACATTGATTCAAAAATCATTACAATCCAACATGCTAAATTAATCTCAAAATGGATCGATAAGTCAGAGATTGCAGATGAGGCAAAGAATTTATATGAATTCAAATTAATTCTTCGTGGATCTCATGATGGATTTACTCCTAAAGAGTTTCATAAAATTTGTGATAATCAATTTCGTACTGTAACAATTATTAAAGTGAAAGGTAGTAATGAAATTCTTGGAGGATATAATCCGATTGAATGGAAATCTGGTAATAGTTATGGTATTACCAATGATAGTTTTATATTCTCTTTTAAGAATAAAGAAAATATCGAACATATTTTAAGTCGGGTTAAAGATGAAAATCTTGCTATAAATTATTGGGATCTTTATGGTCCATCATTTGGTCATGGAGACCTTAGTATAAATATATATGGTGGAAATAGTTTTAGACATAATGGTAATTATTGTAAAAATTATTCTTATGAGAAAAATATCAGGAAAACTGAGGATTTATTTTCTGTTGAAGAATATGAAGTATTTCAAATTATGGAAAAATTAATTTAAAATATTTATGGTATTTTTCTTTTTATTGCCAACGGTAGAAATTTTTTGTTTATGAAAGATATAATGGTTTCAAAGTTTATTTTTTAGAAAATATGTCAAATATTAGATATTTGATTAAATTTTTTTTTACAGCAGGTATTACGTTATATAGTGTCACAATTATATAAACAAGCTGATGTTTGTTTACTTTTATTTAAACTTATAAACTTATTGTTTGAAAAAATGTAATTTCATTTTTGAATGAATGATTATAAACAAAAATTTAAAATCACAATAAAATAATGTATTTCAAAAAACAGAATCTATTTAAATAAGATTGACTACAATTGAGAGTGATATAAAAAAGAATACAAGAATGAATTCATATATATTGTATAGTATAACTGATTATTACTGTAATAATCTAACAAATAATTTTCTATAAATTTCGATTATTTAAAGTATTAAATATCGAAATTAATTTCCTTGGTAATATATTCTACATTTAAATTAAAGAAATTAGGTTTATAATATAAACTTAAAATTACCATTTATATATAAAAATATATTTACATACCATTATTATTATAATTTGTATCAATATCTAATTCGATTTCTTTTGTAAGATAATCTAAAGAAAATATACAATATCAATATTATTGAATTAAATTATGATATTGATATTTTGTTGAAAAATGCAATTACCTTCATCTTCATATAACTTATTTCTTTTAACATTTAGTCCTAAATATATTTTTAATTAATAAATAATGATTTTAACTGAAGTTTATCAATTAAATTTTACTTGCAATTTTTTAAATATCATACCATCATCATCATCTTCAATTAAATCATCTTCAAACTTTCTTTTGACTTCTGAATAAATAAATTGACTTCTTAAACTCCTTAGGGACATTGCAGAATTAATCATGGCACTTAAAGGTCTGCTCCTATAAATGGCACCTGGATTATTTTTTGTTACAGGTCCAATATCTGATGATTCAATAATTTTAGTTGGATTTTTCAAGTAAATTTCTGATTCCTTTCCATGAATTTCATTAATTCTTTCTTTTATATTAGTAATCTGTGGCCTTTTATCTGGATCAGAGTGCCAGCATTCTTCCATTAATTCAATATAGCCTTCAGGTGCATTTGTGACAATTGGTGGTCGTAAACCGTCACAAATTTCAATAATAAGTTCTGTATCATGATTTTGATCCCAAAAAGGTCTTCTACCTGTCATTAACTCCCACATGATCATGCCAAAACTATATATATCTGAAGCTCTAGTATATTTTCGTCCTTGAAGCACCTCTGGAGCCATATAAGGAATAATTCCATAATTCTCATTATTATCATCATCTCCAGATTCAGTTGCAGATTTACTTATGCCAAGATCACCTATTGTTACACTATTAACAAAAGGAATAAGATATGTTAAGTATCGGTTTATATTATGAAAAAAGATATTTCCACTATGAAAATCCCTGTGGACAACATTTAATTCATGTATTTGGAGAAGTCCACGTGCTATATCACCTAATTTATTTAGCTTTGTATTCCAGCTAGTATTATAAAAATCTTTAGTGATATAATTAATCAAATCACCTGAATCATAATATGGCATGATAATCATGATATCTTGAGAATTAGGATCTTGAGTAATTCCAAAATATTTGGCAACATAATTATTTCTATTAGTACATTTAAAATTTGAAAAAAGTTCATAAAATATTTTGAGCTAAAATGAAGAAAATTATTAATTATTTATCTTATCCATGATGATATTTATTAAATTACTATTATCCCCTGATCGGCACCATTTACACGTTTATGCAAATGTAGTTATACCTACTTGGTAGCCAATTTTATATGTATTTATTTATCCGTTTCTAGGAAATTTTGCGGTAAAAATTAATTATTGATTATACTATAATGGACTGATTCGAAAATTTGAGTAATTCGGAAAGATTTGCATTTTCTAAATGAGAAAAACTTTCTTTTAATTTATTTGTAATCTCAATACTATTTTTCAAGTGTAATAGTAATGGTTCCGAAACTTTTTAAAATTTATTTTTTTATTTTAAAATTTTTAAAATGAAACAAAACCAAGCGTAAATTCAACAATAAAATATACTATATTATACTCACAATATACTATAAAACACTTACTATTGTGTAAATGGCAGGGGATAAATCAATTATCTCCTGGCTAATTGGAATAGTAAAATTTTACTTAGAATCGGAACATGATCGGCCTTCGGCCGATCATTTATCCAATCCTAGTAAAATTTTACTTATTCCTAATTAGCCAGGAGATAAGTAATACGTATACTATATACCTCGTTCAGCTCCTTAGATGTGATGTTATTAGAATTATTGAGCTTTTTGAGAACGACTGTGTAATTTTCTTGACGAATATTTCTTGTGTTGCTATAATTAATAACTGGGCCATCAATCCAAGTAGCCTTATATATTTTACTAAAACCTCCTTCAGCAATAAATTCTATATTTTTGAATTGATCATAAGGAACAAACTCCATTTTACCATTTTTTTTAACAAGATTGACTTGCGTATTCCTAATAAAGTCATCAATAGTATTGTTCCCGCTGGGACCGTACTTATATACCTTCTTTATTTTGTAACAAACATGGCATATCTGGTGACTTTCATCTAAAGGTTTTCTTCTTTTATTGCATTCGTTACATTTCTTTTTTTTGTATTTTGATTTAACACTGCTGGTTTTTGCTGGTTGAATTAAAACTGTATTGTTTGATAATAAAATGTCAATTTTATGTTTATGGTTAATTGGTTGTTCCATATTTTTTTTTAAAAAAATTAATTTAATTTGATTCAAGGAAAACTTCAGTCTATTATATGTGCTTTTAAATTAATAATTAAACGAGAAATTCTTTTCTCGAATTCTATACATAATTTCTAGAAGTCTTTAATGGAGATAAAATTTTATAAGAAATGTTTTCGAGAATTCTATATAACATTGCAAAGAATTCTATGGTCTTACGTGATACCGCATGGCGCATGCAATGAAATGATCGTCCTATTTTAAGGAAAAATCATTGAATAAATAATCATATAAGAAAAATCTTTTTAAAACCGCGTATTAGTTAACGAAAATATTTCAAGGATTAATCAATTTTTAGTAATATTATCACTATTGTATGTATTTTCATCATTTACGGAACTATAATAATAAATTAATAATGAACAGGTAAACATACTATGGTATATTTTCCCACAAAATCCAAATTAAAAGTAAAAATACTTGTCTCAAAATAAGTCACTGGTTTTGGTAAGCTGTAAAATTATACACATGCAAGATTAGAAATAATACTACAAATATCACATATACTGGTTAATAAGTAATACGTTTAGTTTAATGTTAAACCAAAAATTATAACATGATTATGGTTTTTTAACTCAACCGAAAAATGAAAATTCGATTTGTAGATTGGACTTAAAAGCGTGAATTTTTTATTAATCCCTACTAATTTATTCAAGGATATTATCCAAAAAAAGTCAAGGTTAATATCGGCGTATGTGTCGTTTATGAAAACCATATTTGTACTGCTGTAATATCACGCGTTATATTCAGGATTTTACAAAAAATAATAAAAGATTATAATATTACTACCACTGTTAGGTAACAATAACATAAATAATTTATTTATTGACCACATGATGAAGACCAGTAATATGACAAATCAGTATAGCGAATTGGAATATTTTGACTTTCTGCACGAATTATTTTTTAATAGTTTGTATTTATTGCTCAACGTAAATAAATAAAATGTACATCATATTATTTCTAAAAAAAAAAAAAAAAAAAATTTAAACTATTTAAAATATAAATGTCATTTGACTTTTGAAATGACCTTTCAAATCCTAGTCGTTAAAGTCATTTTTCATTTAAGTCATTTTACAATATCCAAATTTAAATAAAAATAACCTAAGTAAAACCAAGGTTAATTTTGTATAATCACGTGAAATAATTTCATTTCGATTTCAGATAAAACTGACTTGTCAATTTTGTTCAAATAACATCACATGCCTTGGTAGGATCACATAATATTTAGTTTTAGAAAGTAAAAAAAAAAAAAATTTAAACATTTGCACCTATTAAATTTGTGAGATTTAACCTGTTTTTTATTTTGCGTCTCGTATTTCATTAAGCGAAATTAATGAAGAGTTATATATTATTAATATGATGAATCGAATTGCCAAAATTTTATTATTTGATTAGTAACAATATTAGATTAAATTACTATTTGTTTATTAACAATAATGATTAAATTAGTACAGTACGGTAATACAAATTAGTACGGACGCTCAAAAAAAATATTTCAATTTTTCAGGCAGATCTTTAAATTTTGATTTTTCTGTACAAATAATTTTACATCGTAACATCATGCGATGTTGCGATCAAATTTGCAAGAATGAATAATATACTATAGACTCTATAGCCTTTTTGACCGAAAAAATTATTTTCCAGATCGCTTTGTCGGAAAAGTTTAATTTGGTTTAATATTTTCTCTTTTCTTTCTTGGAGTTGCGCTAGATTGGAGGATTTGGTAATACAATTTTTTCATTCTTCATAATTTGGTTTTCTCCTCCCTTAAATAATCCCAACATAGTTAGCAAATTAATATTCAATTTGGATTTTTGTTTCGACTTCCTTTACTGTTTTTATAAAGTCTTCAAAAATAACTCCTCATGACTTCTGCCAATTCGACTAATCAAATGACAAATGAACAATTGATAATTCAAGTTGAGTAGCCCTATAAAAGCTAATTACCTTAAGGGTGATGTTTGGTACAAAAATTCGAAGTTGTACAAATTTAAAGTTGTACGAAAATATTTCAAATTTTCGTACGTACTAGTATAATTTTATTAGACTTTGTAACTAATTGTAACTTGTAATATATAGTCAATATGTACATCTCTTACATAACATACACGTGAAATTTGAAACAAATACGCCTTTTATTGATCATTCACCGTAATAAATATTTAATTGTCACATCACGTGATTATCGAGATCGTTGTTTCAGCGACTTGGTTTTTTTTGAGTGGTCCATACTTAGGCGACATTTGTCGCCTGTTATTTTGTCACTGCTGCGCCACTAACCTGGCACACAAAGAAAGCTGTGCGACAAAGTTTTCCTCGTTCGTATAAATTTGCGCTCTTATTGACGGCTTTATACATCTTATTGTTTCATATGTTAAAAAAAACAAAAGTTTATTAAAACTGACCATTAATAAATTAGAAATATTTTTTTTTTTACAAGAAAATTATATATGGACGATAATAAATTTTTACCAAAATTATCACAAAATTTACTCGAAATTTAGATGATGACGATAATTGTTATGATGTAACAATAATGAGCCTCATGTAAAAGTGTTTCGTGCTCATATGGTCATCTTAAATTATCGTTCTCCTTATTTGCGAAGAATTTTATCAACAAATAAAAAGGAAAATGACGGAACATTGGTAAATATTAAATTATCAAATATTTTACCAGAAATTTTTCAAATAATCTTAAGGTAAAATAAAGAATTAAATTGAATAAGTAATTTATTTTCAAAATTTTTATTTTTAATTTTAAGAAAAATTTTTCTTTTTATATTAGTTATATTTATGGTGGAAGACTTTCATTGGATGATTATGATATTTCAGATATCATTAAAATTTTGGTCGCTGCAAGTGAACTAAGTCTTCAGGAATTAATTCCTCATTTACAATCTTTTTTGATTAAAAATGGAACAAATTGGATGGAACAAAATTTTAATTTAATATATCAAACGAGCTTTGAAAATGATTCTTTCTTTGGTCTTCAAAAATTTTGTATAAATTTAACTTCCAAAAATCCAGATAAATTATTCAACTCTGTAAATTTCTCTTCAATGTCAGAAAAACTTTTGATATCAATCATTCAGGATAGTAATCTTAAAACGAGTGACGTTCAAATTTGGGAGCAAGTGCATTGCACAAATCCTGGACTTTCTTCAGATTCTTCGAGTTATTCAAATGATGATTTTAATACTTTAAAAAATACTTTGCAAAAAATCATTCCTTTTATGGGATTCACCTCAAGAGAATTTTTGTATAATGTATTTCCTTATAGAAAAATTCTACCAAACGAGTTATATATAGACTTATTAAAATTATTTTTGAATAGTGATTATAGACCAAATAAAAAAAATAGAAAGGTTATTGATTCTAAAATAATTACAATTCAACATGTTGAATTAATCACAAAATGGATTGATAAGTTAAGAATTACAGATGAGATAAAAAATTCATATGATTTCAAATTAATTTTTCGTGGGTCTCGCGATGGATTTAGTCCTAATAAATTTCATGAAATTTGTGATAATGAATCTGGTACCGTGTCAATTTTTAAAGTGAAATATAGCGATGAGATTCTTGGAGGATATAATCCAATTGAATGGAAATCCGATATGGGTTTTGGAATTACCAATAAAAGTTTTATATTCTTTTTTAAGAATAAAAAAAATATCGAACATATTTTAAGTCGAGTTAAAGATGAAAATCTTGCTATACGTTATTGGGATAATTATGGTCCATCATTTGGTTCGGGAGATCTTACAATATATGGAGGTTATGGAGGCTTTAGAAATGAAAGTAATTTTTGTAGTAACGGTTATAATTATTGTAGAAAAGCATCTTATGAAAAAAATATCAGAGTATCTGACTATACATTTTCTGTAGAAGATTATGAAGTGTTTCAGATCATAAAAAACTAATATAAAATATTCTACGATAGTAAAGATTTTATATCGTTAAAATAAATAAAGTATATGAAATTTATTATATTATACAGTGCTATACTTTTTTTAAAAATTTATAGTAACGGAAACAAATTTTTTAAAAATAATTAACCGGTAACCTTTTGTGGTTTATGCCCAAACTTTAAGCTATTAGTTAATATCTTTTCAAAATAAAAATTTGCCAAGTTTTAAGCCTTTTGAATTAATTTTTAATAGATGGCTGAAAATTATGACGTTAAATATAAGTTAAAAAATTTTTTTTTAAAAAAAATAATTGCCTGAATCCAAATTATGCAAAATTAGATTAAGTAAATAAATAGTCTCACAATTTAAATACAGAAAATTTTAAATTTGATAACTAAAAACTTCAAAAATTTGAATTGAAACGTAAAAATTATATCACGTGATTTAAATAAAAATATGATTGGCTTTTGCGCATTTTGAAAGTTTTTTTTTTAAAAAAAAAGAAGAGAAAATCAAGAATTTGAATTTTTGTTTACAGCAAGAATAACTCATGTTACAATTTCCTTATGGCTTGTGATAAATATAAATAAAAATTAAAGTTTTAATATAAAATGCAATAATTAATTAATACTATAAGTTTATCCTTCACGCTGAAATAATCGGATATATTTCAAATTTTCCAAGTTTTATTCCGTTCCGTTTTACTATTATAAGCAATTATAATTAAAAAATTTTTCCCGTTCAAAAGATTTTTTTACCTTCATTAATTCATTTTGGACGCAGTGTATATAACTGAAAGATTTGAGCGTTATTTTGCTATTTGAAAATAATCTATTTCGTTAAGTCTTTTTATGTAAAACAGGACTAGACCTAATAAATTTTTTTAATATCTTCTATATAAATACTGTATTCGTACTTGCATCAAAATTGTGAACGCTGAATAATTGAGAAGAATGGAGTATTCATTGGACGTGAAGTTAAATATGGTCGAACTAAACTTTTTTTAAAATAACGATATGCTTACGCTAACATATGATTTGTATGAACACAAGAAATTGTTCATTAGTCTAATAGTAAATCAGCTTGTGAAACGTTCTAAATTAAATGTAAAATTCATTTATAAACAGCAAATAACTAATAAAAATAAAAAAATCTTTAATATAAAGAATTGAGCCAGTAATTTCAAAAAAACTGTTCCTTACAAATGAAATAATATATTTTCTTTTTGAGAAATAAAAAATCACTCTTAAACACTTCCCAACCCGCTAATAATTTTAAAAATGTGAGCGTCGCCTAGAAGTAGTGCAATACTAGGGACACTCATGGAAAGAGTATTGGCAAGCCAAGTGACTCTTTCCCAAGTGCAAAAATTCGTTAATATCGAAGTTACACAGTGTGTAACGTTTCAGATATTAGACTGAAAAGAACAGATACTACACTTGATCTTAGCCAATAGGCAAGAGAGGATAAGGACCAAAAGCTTGGGGCATTACGATGCCTTTTTATATTAAAATTCAAAAAAGTGAGAATTATGGGATTTCAAATGATTGTAAAAATTGTACGTTACATAATTTTTGTCATTTGCCGCAGAACTAACCGCAGCGCTTAGTCGCTTACTAATTCGACATTGCTGCGCCTATGTTGACTAACTATTTATTATAATAATTCGGGTAAAATTAAGTTAATAATCTTTAGTCATTTTTGCTTTAAAAAAAAATGTGACTAATGCGGATTAAGCTAGCTGAATGTTAAATTTGCTGCGCCTGCTGCGGAAAATGATTTACTACATTACTACGTGACTTTTTTATGGCAAGCCGAATCAATAGACAAAATGTCACCCCGTGACTGACATTTTACCTTGGTTTTCGCTTGATATTTATCTGATCTGTTCGTGATTGGTATTTATGCTTGAGGTTTTATCTATTTGTACTTAATGTTTTTGTCCAACTGTATTTGATTTTAATTTTATCTTGTCAAAAATTAGTTTCTTTGGTGATATTTTGTCAATCACATTGTTTTTAAGTTTAGCACACGAAGAATTTTTTTTTTATTTTATTGGCTTTTTTTTATAAACCAATTTTTGTAGAGAAATTTTTATTTTAACATAAGCAAAGGCTTTTTTTGATAAAATTCTTTTGGAATTTTTTTTTTAATAAAAAGACTTTTTTTTGATAAAAAATTTTGTTAGAGAATATTTATTGATAGGGACATTTCCGAGTTTTTTTTTTCAATTGATAATTTCGTTAAAAAATTTAAATTTCATTGGAGAATTTTTTTTTTATAAGATTTTTTTTTTGGACATATACCTAATTTGTTGGAACAATTTTTTTTAACAGGATTTTTTTTGATGGAGAATTCATTGAGAATTTTTTTTTTTTTT